CGGAGTTTGGGTACTCGGGGATATACGTACATGTGGTTTTACATGTATTTGAGTAGATAAGTAAAATTATTTTCTTATGCCCCCCCCTCCTCCGATTAAAAGATCCCAGGGGTATATTGTTTTTGTCCTGTCTGTCTGTCTGTCTGTCTGCTGTCAACTTTGACCTAGCCCATAACTATTGCGCTGTCAAGGGTAAGACTTTAATATTTGACATGAGTGTTCATTATGACAAGACCTTCCCTTGGGTACCACCATAATGACCTTTTAACCTTGACCTTGGAGTTTGACCCAGTTTTGCAAAATTTTACCAAACTTTAACGGTTACCTTGTCCATAAACTTTGAACGAATGGTGCTAAGCTTTCATACTTCACATGTGTAATTCTTGTGACAAGACCTTCCTTTAGATACCAATAACTTTGACCCTTTGACCTTGACCTTGGAGTTTAATCTACTTTTGAAAACTTTAACCTTTGCGATAATTTTTGAACAATTGGTGCTAAGGCTTTCATATTTCACATGTGTAATTCTTGTGACAAGACCTTCCTTTAGATACCAACAACTTTGAGATATTGACCTGACCTTAAAGTTTGACCTACAATTGGAAAACTTTAACCTTGGCCAAGATTTTTGAATGGTTGGTGTTAGGGCTTTCATACTTCACATATGTAATCCTTGTGACAATGCCTTTCTTTGGATACCAACGGCTTTGACCCTTTGACCTTGACCTTGGAGTTTGACCTACTTTTGGAAAACTTTAACCTTGGCCATAACATTTGAACGATTGGTGCTTCGGCTTTCATATTTCACCTGTGTATTTCTTGGGAGAAGGCCTTTCCTTTGGCACCATTAATTTTGACCATTTGACTTTGACCTTGATGTTTGACATACTTTTGAAAAAAAAAAAAACTTCAACCTTTTCCATATCTATTCAATTGTTGCTACTAGGCCTTTCATATTTCACAGGTTTATTCCTCGAGACAAGACCTTACTTTGGGTATCAACATATTTGATTTGCATTTGAGAAAGTTTAAACTTTGCTATAAGTTGCCATACGGGGGCGTCAGTGTTCCACAAACACATCTTGTTTTTAAATGATATATTTCTTTTCTTTTTTTATCTGTCATTTGTAGCATAACGTCAGCTGCTTCTTGTATTATATCAGCGGAAGTGGTAAGTATGGCAGAGAGAGAGAGAGAGAGAGAGAGAGAGAGAGATTTGATTTCTGAAATTGTAAACCCATTGAATAAAATAAATTTGAATATACAAGCAATAGAATCTTTCACCCATATTTACTGCTTCTCAAAAATTATTCTCTTTCACGCTTTAAATTGACACACACATTACAAATCTAAATACATACATGTAGCTATAGGTGTTAAATTCTGCACTAGACCAAATCCATTTTCTTCTGAGTTTACCTGAACTCGGGGTCAATAAACATAAACAATAATTTCTTAAACGTACAGATTTGAACAAAAGTTCATATCTACCATTCTATATATGCAATTTAAAACAATGATTATTTATCAATTTGCCAAAAAAGTTTCGCTTTTGCTTCGAATCTCAAATCAATATAATGAAACAAAGGTATTCCATGAGAGTATGTGTACTACAAGAAATTCAAATATTTTTCATCTTCTAAAAGTTGCTCTGCAAAAGCTGCCACAGCGTTTCCACACTTGTACAGGGTTTTCGAGGATAATAAATTCCCAGAGAAGCCAGCATCAATGGAAACCCAAGTGTTTACCAGAAAATACACCGAAAATGGGAAATATTACACAGGACTAAGAGTTACACTAATGTCACCAGTCACAGGTATGTGGGTATTTAAGTTTGTACCAAATTTATAATTTCAGACATCACAGAGTGTGACATGTTTTATTTCATATTTGGATATTTTACTAGGAAAAACACCCATTAATGGCAAACTAACAACTAATTAAAACTTTATCATTTACGTGATGACTTTCAATGACCTTGTCAGAAAAACACAATCTATCGTTAAAGTGAATGTTGACTAACGTTTTCACACAAGTTTAAAGGCCATTACTTTCACACGGATTTGTGTACAGATCTTTATGTTTATCCGGTCATTATAAGGAGCACATGGCAGGAGTGACATATAGACAGAGGATGTTTAGTCTGTGTCACCTGATCCGACCTCTGATGGTTTAAGATGTCTCCAAATTTGCAATGTTCCAATTGATTTTTGAGCTTGATTACTGTTCGGTATCTTCATATTTCATCTAATATTCAGTTATGAAAACTGCACTCTAAAGGTCAATCAGATTCCCTTGTATTGTATCATTATGTATTAATTGGTCGTTTAATTTCATGTTTGAAATATGGATATAACGAACAGTAATCAAGCTCACAAGTCCAATGAAACAATACAAATCGGAAGTAGAGCAAACGCGGATCTCTGAAAGCATCAGGGGTGGGATCAGGTGCCATGGAGGAGTGAGCACCGCTTGTCGACCGGTCATATCCGCTGTGTGCTCCTTGTCATGATCGGGAAAACGAAAAAATGTAGACAATTCAGAGTGTAAATAATAACGTAACAATTAGTATTATAACGTTAGTTAGCATTCGACTTAATGATTGATTGTTTTTTTTCTGACAAGGTCATTGTATCGACCATAGAATTTGCTAAGTGTTCACTTAAACGAGACTGTCGATATCCTTGTTTCATCAACTTGTATGTAAATGGCTTGCCTCGTTTTAGAAATTGTTCATACGTAGAGCATGATCTTGCATTTATAAAGTATGTGTTACCCGTTCACATGCGCCTTTTAACACATGGTGAGGAAATTTTATATATATGCAAATTCTGCACCTGGGTGTATTTTAGTACATGTGAAAGGGGGGGGGGGGGCTGAGCTAGATTTGCAGGTGAGTATTTTTACTGCAAGTGCGACATTTACGTCTAGTCAGACAACGTGCAAATAAATTTTTACAGATAGAGTCAGCTTTTGGCAAATTTACGGTCGTTATATTGACCTTGCAAATACAACCTATAGTTCAGTAGTATTTTGTCTAACATGTTTCATACAATTTGTTAAGTCATTGCTTTTATACAAAATACGACTAGTGAGTACCTGATCAAAACAAAGGGCTCAGGGCGGGTGTGGCCTGTCGACAGGGAATGCTTACTTCTCGGCATTTGTTCTTACCTCTTGCGTTTCCAGGGGTTCGTGTTTTGGCCTGTTCCCAATTCGATAAGTTTACTTGACTTATGAGATTCATCACTTATCGTAATCTTCAACTTATACATAACATATGAGTAAATTTACTACTGGTGAATTTTCAGATATTTGAAAGCGTAGCATCTATAGAAGTATTGAAATTGAATATAAAATATATTATCATCGATTTCATTAAAAACTTTATATTAGATTGATTGATTAATTGTATGTTGTTTTACGTCCCATTCGAGAATTTTTCACTCACATAGAGACGTCACCATATACCGATAAAAGGCTTCAAAGTTTGACCTTTACTCGGCACTCAGGGCCATTGAGCAGAGAGGGATCTTTATCGTGCCAACGCATGTCGTGACACTGGACCTCGGTTTTTAAGGTTTCATCCGAAGGACCAGCAACTTTCACTTCAAAGTGCCCAGCGCATGGCGAAGGAACAGTTGCTGCCCCCCCCCCCCCCTTTTTATCGATTTAGGTCAGTCGTGGCCGAGATTCGAACTCACGACCACCCGATCACGGAGCGAGCGCTCTACCAACTGAGCTACCGTGAACGGTCTTTATATTAGACAGAACAATGATCTTCTGTTGATTTATTGTCCAATCATAATCTCAAGTAGCATCTTAACAAGAAATGGCAATGTTCTTAGTGCATGGGAGGAACATTGAGTTGAAGAGCAACTAAAAAGCCTAAACAAGTATTTACAGAATACTTTGAAATTACCACCTTAATACTGATTTTACATACAATTTCAGTGTGCATGTAAACGCATTGAAAAAAAATTACATTTTCAAACCAAGGGTAAAATTTAAATGAAAATTTAACATCTCTAAGTAAATGAGAGCATATGAATGGGGCTAAGAAGAGACGTTTGTGTTGTTAAATACATGCTTAACAAATTTTTTTATTTGGTTTATGTATTTATTTGAACAAAATATAAAATTATTGAATAATTGATAAACATTTTCTAAATATAATGTTGATATTACTTTTTAATTGTAAAATTATAAAAACAAAACAAAACAAACAAACAAACAAAAAAAAAAAAAAAAACGCGTGGGGCAGTGGTTAAAGCATCTGCTCTAGAGTCGCGGGTTCGAATCCCACTGTGGGACGTGGAGACCGGTCCTTTTGATGATACTGTATAAACTGAGGTCCTGTGTCGCAGTAGGTGCCGAGTCAAGGTCAAAATTTGTAGCCATCCACCGGCCAGTGGTGGCGTCTCCATATGAGTGAAAAATTCTCGAGAGGGGCGTTAAATAAAACAACAAAAAAATTGAAATATTGATAATTTTCAATATCATTTTTGAATTGAAAAGAAAATAAATTGTAAAATTATTATATCATTAATCAATATTCGGTTTGAATTTTCAGGACGCTTTGATGTTTTAAAAGGTTTCAAACTTATATTCAAGTATAACACGGATTTGAAATATGGCTGTTTAATATTTGATTTATCTGCAGAAAACCTGACATACGATGATGTTGTTCAGGCAAGTTGAATATATATTTTTATGCATCAATATTTTACTCTGTCTCTAACATTATTAAAATCAAATACATTCTAAGTAGATCAGTTGCAGACAATAAATTTACAATGTAAATTACTAATATTATTGAATATTAGTGAAATTACAGAAAATCATTCTTCTGTCTTATTTCAAGCAAAAAAAAAAAAAAAAAAAAAAAAAAAAAAAAAAAAAAAAAAAACTTTAAAAAATATTGTCAAAACCATTACTGTCATATTTTCCCCAGAATTGCAGTATACCTGACTTGATAAGAAAATATTGAATTTTAATTCAGACCGGTTTTTGGAGTGAGATCTGGCCTATGGCCCCAGCAGATCCGCCCGTTGTTTTTCTGGTCAGTAGAAGCCTTCCCCCTGCACCTTCCCAGTATGACCGATACCTCAACGTAACCGAAAATGTCCAAAACGGGGAGTTTGGTGTCTGTGTTCCTAATGGGGGTTGTGGTAGGTTAAAATACCTATCTAGGTTGCTGGCATGCTCTTACAAGCAAAGTTTTAGAAAAACAAGTTTTTTTAATGTTCTGACAGTATGCTATTTTCAGATTTATAAAACTTATATAAGGTAGTTCCATGAGTATTTGAATAGCCTATCATAAGCGTATTTAACCGTATTTTCCTATTGCAAATTTAACAGGGCTTAGACACATATATTTTGAATTCAAATCCAAAATTGAAATTTATCTATTTTAGATAACGTTGTAACACCAAGTGAATGGGTAACAACAATATTTTTCAAGACGACTACAAACAGCTCAGGACCTTTCAATAACATTGAGATGAGTTTTGCTTTGGGGCCCCCGGAGTACAAATTCAATGAGTACACTGTCAGCTTACATACAGTCAACAACTCCAAACCTATTATTGCTCTCAACTTACCCAAGGAAGTAAGTCAGCCTCTGAAAGCTACTTAATTTTGAAAGTTTAAAAAGTATTCCTGGTCGATAATATATATATACTATATTAAAACTCTGAAAAAAAATGTAACTTTTTAAAATAGATACCTCATCATGTGTTTACAAGACTTTCACCTGGAAAATATGTGATTAAGGTAAGCATATTTATGGCATCATTTTTATGGTAAATTTTTTTTACTGATATTGGTTAATTGTAGGTTTATGCTTGTTATGAGGCAAACAAAACTTGTCGCTACTGATATAAAGATGTCAGGCAAATAAAGTTTTGCCTAAGAAGAAATACATATGTGCAGAAATGTTATTTCTGTTGTACCTTAAGAGTAGGAGGACTATTTCTATGACCAAAGTTTTATCTTGATCACACAGGAAATATGGAATTCGGTCAGCGTAAAGAGTTAAATTTTCATGTCTCAATCGACAAACAATAGTTCATAAACCGAAATCATATTAACAAAATTCTATTTATGAATATCAATCATCCAATATCTAATCAATCAATATCATCATAAAATTTCTTTATAAAACAAGCTGATGAAACCATTACTTTGGCACAATAGCAAGGCACAAGCACTATTTTTGACGATTAAAATTCAAAACTTTATGAAACTTGAAAATGTACAATCATGACAGATTATTCTTACAGATTTGATTTCTTTCCTGTGTATTGTTATTATTACAGACTATACCATATAATGAACACTTTAATGAAAGGAATCTATGTCTGTGTAAAACTGCATTTCAAGAATGTTCTGCCTGTACAGCGACAGAAACGAAGGAAATTACTGTGGGGCATATACATGTAAGTAATTATAGTTTCCTTTTTCTCTTAAACATTATTCTTTTTCACAATTCTATACCAGCATGTTTATAAACTGCACAAGGATATGAAGAGCATTCTGGGATAACCTAATAGATTACTTTGATTGCTATCATTGCAAACATTTCAGGACCATATGGTAATCATTTAAATATTCACTACCTGCCGTAAAATCTGTCATAAAAATGGTTACTTAAACAACTTGTACACGAAAAATTTAAAACTGCACAACTCATAAAATTTGAAAGTATCCAAAATTCTCTGGTACGTGTTGTATTGCATTCTCCTTCGATTTAATTAGGGTGAGTTAGCCATGCATCGGACACATACCTTGCTTCGGACAACTTTAAGCAATAAACTTTCATTGAACCCGAGTCTCCCCGTGTTTTTACTTGTTTCTGTCTTAAAGGTGAAGAGTTAAACTTTTTAATGATGCCGATTTTTATTGTCGTCATATATTGCATCATCAAAGGGGAGTAACCAGAATTTTACGATTATGCAATTTTTAGAGTTGTCGTTCTTTTAAATAGACGTCAACGGAACGGGTCGGACCTAGGTAAAATTTATCAATGATTGATAATTTTACCGACATTTTTCAAAAAATTTACTTCAGTGTTTGTATAATATTTTTTTGAGTTCTTTTTAACTAGTATATTTATTTCACCGTACATCGGACACAAATTAACCTTGCATCGGACACTTTCCGATGCATGGGTAATAACTTCCATTTTCATATAAAACCCAAATGACAGCTGTTTTTTACGGAAATAGAAAATAGAAACTCTAAATTTTCAGTGAAAATACAAATTATCGATATATGACGACTAGAAGTGGACTCAATTTATTTCTTTAAACTAGATGTTGATAACCCACGCGACAAAGGCGCGAGTTGCCATATTACTAGCATTGTAAAGTCTTTCCAAGGCGATGTGATGCAACTGAAATCTCTTCACATTTGTGGATCGAAATAGTCATTCAAATTTAATTAGAAGGTTAATTTTTTTCAAAAAAGATAAAAATGTTCCAATATCACTAATTTTAAAGCACCGAGATCAAGATATGATATTTTTCTGGTTTAAATATCGTATGTCCGATGCATGGTGAATATTGTCCGATCCATGGTGAATTCTGACTTATTTCGAAAAAATTGGTTTTTAATGGTATTTTCTCAATAAATAGGGCACGATTGTATCAAATATTTATATTTTAACCACATACTACACGTTAAGTTCCATTTTGATAATATTCGGTCGGTAGCGATATCGCTAGAACTTGTTGAAGTGCGAGGGTGTGCGATGCATGGTGAATTCACCCAATTTGTCCATTTCGCCTCGGAATAAAAGTGTATAAGGAAAGATCACAAAGCAAATCTGTACAGTCTATCAGATAACAGACTCAAGATACTTTATTTCAAGGCCTTGGATTCATTCTCTCCACAATAAGCAGTTCTAGGTCTATGTCACATAGTTTACTATATAAGAATGAATTTTTATTACATTAAAACTCTTACGCTTCAATTGTTTATACCGTAACAAAAAATACTATAGTTTACTATAGTTAACTATAGTTAATCAAACTTTCAAAGTTTTTACTATGGTAAATCAAAGTTCCAAAGTTTTCACTATAGTAAATCAAAGTTCCAAAGTTTTCACTATAGTAAATCAAAGTTCCAAAGTTTTTACTTTGTTACTAAAGTTAACTATAGTAAACTATGGCTAACTATAGTTTACTATAATATTTTTTTGTTAGGGTACTCTATCTGTCCGATAAGACTTTTTGTATTGTGTGTCCCTTGCAAATAGTATACTTAGTGGACAAAATTATTTATATTGGTATCAAATATAATAAAGATTAGCCTCGTCTATACTGAAACTGTTAAATTCCGATAAACTCAAGCTCATTTGTTCAATACATACGAAATCAATGAGTAGAATTTGAAATTTTGTGTTGTCCATTCAGCTTTGGCATCCTTAAGAAGTAGGCATATGTGATTAAGAGTTTGGAACACAAATTCGGTTTAGCGAATTGAAGCCTGAGTCCTATTTGATGGGCATTAAAACTAAAGAAAATTTTGTTTTTTACATTTTGACTTCTCATTTGGTCAAATTTGAAGAAATATCGAATTATGACAACGCAAATCTCGGGAGTGCCTTTGCCAATTGCTGAGATTAAAGCAACTGAATGAAATGAACAGAAAGAACCAAATTGTTTGTATCTATTGTCCGATGCGGAATTAATATAAAAAGAAAAGTGCGGGTGATACAAAACAAAGCTGGAAAGGGGGTGTGACTTTCTGATTCATAACAGACAGAAAGACGTATCGAAAGCACCTCTTGGAAGTTACAAGCAGTAATAAAATGATCATTCTTCATAATTTGTTTACAGTAGCAGAGTTGAAAACATGAAAAAGTACCAAGTACAAGCCAAATCCACTTTCTTAAATAATCATTGCAATACAACATAAATTAGTACAAATAATAAATTCATTTCCTTCCTATAAACGAAAGCAAATTCTCAGATCTACGCGTTCTTCGCAAATACAAAATAAATGAATCGGCCAAAATTGCTTTAGAATAATCATAACACGGACTTTTAGTTTTACTGAAGAACAAGTACATCGGTCGAAAAAAAAACTTTTTTCTCTTCTAATGCGGATCATTTTGAGAAAACTTTCTCTACAATTGGACTTAATTTGGAACTGTGAGTTGGTCAGGAACACAGAAATTATGTGTTGGATTACGTTCCATATTGTGCGCTAAATTTTGTGAAGATGCAAAATATCTACTCTAGACATTTCCCAATGTGCAAGTGAAGGAAAAAGACTCCAAAAAGCCTATACAAAAATATAAGCTCCACAAAGAGATGTGTCCTTGTAAGTAAGGTTTATTAATATTAGGTAATTTTTTATTACTATAATATTTTATAGATTTAAAAATGGCACAAAATGATTCGTCTTGTAAAGTTTACGATAATCTCGATAATAATGAAAGTATTTTTCTTTACAGGCTCTAGAATGGCCTTTGGAATTCATTAGCCTTTAGAAATACTCGATATCTAAAAAATAGTATGACCGTTCGAGCACTTCCTTTATTCTATATGACACTCAAGAAAAAACATTTCATTTGGATGATGATAGCTAGGTAAGAGTGTTCGAAAAAATCATTTTAATGAGAACTTTGATATTTTATTCACCTTTATGTATTATATCGTACTTACACGTAGGTCGAAATATTGGAGTAAAAGGAGACGATATCATTTTCAGCAATTAAGACAGGAGTGCCTTGAAAGACAAGTAGATTTAAATAATTAGTTCCTGAAATACGTATGACCATCAGAAGGAGTAATTAAAAAATTGTTTTAAGCAGTGACTATATTTTTTTACTATTTTGTGTTTTTAACTACATTTTGTGTTTGTGTGTGTAACTATATATATAGTGTATAGCTAGATTAGCGAAATGGCCAAGGATACTTCCGCGACGATTCGAGGTAGAAGATGCGTCTCGACCAGGTATTTTGTCAGTTATTCAGTATATTTGGCTGAGTATGCTTTACAACTTCAACTACGCTACTAAACCCTATTTATTCAAAGTTTTACATTTTGAAATTTGATGTTGAAAACAAATAACATTGAAGGTATCACACCGGTAATTTTTTTCACTATATAATTCTATATTCACTCTGACAGAAGTATTTTTGTGCACATTTTGAAGCAAAATTTTATCTTTAATAGACTAAGCCTGGCAACCAATTTTGTATCCGAACGTGGAGAGTACGAGGGGTGATCAAAAAGTTCGCGAACTGTCTCTATATTTACAAGACCACAATTCAGATCAGAATGAAATTTGGCACACGTATAGTCATACACATGTTCTATAAAAAGCAGGTGTTATGTTATGTTTTGCTTCATGTTTGTGACGTCACAATGTGAAAATTACGTCAATATGTAGGTGACTTGTGACAAAAAATGGTTGACTCAGTCGTACTCGAGCAACGAACGACTGTAAAGATTAACGTATATCTTGGAAATTCCTTTGCAGTAGCATATAATAATTTGTACAGGGTTAATGAAGACTAAAGACTTACCAGAAGTTTAATCATTAATTGGATTGATTGTTTTAGTGAAGAAAGGGAGATGGTTAAAAATTACGTTTGTTCTGTTGCCCAGTAAAAGGAAGCGGGCAAAAAGATGTGTCCTTAGTTGAGCAATTTGTTATGTTAGATCACCAAGTTACCAGGGATGGGGTAATTGAAATGAGTAATCGTAATTTACTGTATTTAAATACATTTTTTCAAAGTAACTGAAAGTATTTGTAATTGAGTTTGCTTTCAATTACAAGTAATTGAATGTATTTAAATACATTCCAAAAATGCCATGTATTTTTCAATTATTTTTCAATTACATTCCAAATACTTTATTTTTCAAGTTACATATTAAAAAGCGTGCTTTATAATGATGCATATCACTACTGTTTGGCATGAGTTTGTGTTTATATAATAATTAAATGCCTAATAATGTTTATACGGCATAAACACGCCACCCAGGGCAATAGGAAAGATCAAAGGGGGAGTTTCGATAAGGCCGTTTTTCGGCCCCTCACGAAATTTTATGAAATTTTGATATGTTGTAGAAAAACTCCATATCTTCCTAAAAATATGAAAATAATTTATGTTACGCATTTTCCGGTCACGTGATAATTGCAAATTTAAGTATACCCCCTTTCGTATATTTTTGGAGTAGACATTTTTAATAGGGGGAAAGTGGATTTTTTAACCGTAAAAATCGTAAATGAAATAGGATAGAAAAGAATAAAGACATTAATCAACCAATTTCAACAATTTTTTTTAACGGAAAATTGTATTTATTTTATGCGAATGTTTTTTTAAAGGTGCGATATTTTTCTGGTGTGTTAAATGTTACTTTCCTTTAAAAGAGGCTGAATTTAACTTATAAAAGGTAAACATATAGAAAGTTTTAACATCATAATTAATCGACAGTTTATACATAAACTTTATAATCAATATTTAACATTTTCCCAAACGAAAAATGAAAAAAAAAGATGTGTAGACATGAGATAGGTAAATGTAAAAACGTCATATACAGGTATATGCAATACCTTTCATCAATGAGTTTATACAACAGTTACTACATATTTTATAAAGATATACCTTAATATCATAAAATTGAAATTAAATAAAATGGTTTGAAATAAAAAGATTAAAAAATAGATACAACTTTATATACATACATAATTAAAAAGTTTATTTAAAAGCATCATATTGCTACGTAAGCCGGTACATTGTAGGTGCAAGGTAAGAAAATATTTAATCTGGCGGCCGCCACATAATTATTCGGCAGCCGCTAGAAAAATATATCTGGCGGCTGCCATATAACTGGCGGCGACCAGAAACTTATCTGGCGGCCGCCACATAAATAACTAGAAGCCGACAAATAAATTTCTTGCAGTGAAGACATGTAATCTAATAACACATTAATTTAAAGTTACGAGGTGAAGACCTTACAAAGTGAATTTTTGTATAAAGTGTAGACTTGAAGTGCTAATAAGGCATGAAACTGCCAGATTTGAGTACAAACAGAAGTTGCAGATGTCGTTAAAGGCAGAGATTTTAAGCACCGCCTTCAAAAATGCCTGGTATGTGTACCTCTGTCAATCAAGTGAATTAAGGTGCATCATTGGGTGCTACAATTTGATTGGCAAAAACACTATAATTTTATCTGCCAGCCGCCAGATATTTCAATGGCAGGCGCTAGAAACTTACCTGGCGGCCGCCAGATAATATATTTTTTTTTTACCAATTACCCTACCCCACCTACCGGCTTCAGTATATTGCAAAGTATTTGATAATATGAATAATATTAATTACATTCAAAAATATTTTATCATGATACGTAATATGTGAATAGCCAAATGATGGAAAAAGTCTATAATACATTGAGTGTTTCCTTTTCATTATGAAACTTAGAAGTATTTGCCTACATAGATCTGCATTATGTTTGCAGCATAACTTAGAGAATTCCAGCCAGCACTCATTTTCTCTGGCTTCCCAACTCTCCATAGCTTCATCAACTCTAGCCACTTCTAATTTAGAGAGTTTTTGAATTCATTATATATGATTTGCTAGACCAGAGCGCAGTTCAAAATACATGTGTAAACGCCAAAGATATGTGTTTAATCCTTAATCAGGCAGACATATGCGCCTTGACATCTAGACTTAAATCAGTCCACGTTCCCTATATCAACCACACGGGCATATATGGGCGCTTCTGTAGTACGTTGGAGTGTGGATTTCTATTTAGTAATACAAGGAAGTCAAAAATATAACTACGCATGATAAATAACGTTAAGGAATGGACTTGCTCTAAAACTTATTTTTTGTTCAGTCCTTCGGAAAATGTAAGAAAGATCCAGCATCTGAACCATGTCCGGTAGTGTGCTATCCTAGATGCATCATCAGTGCAAGTTTGGTCACGATAGGGCTTATAGTTACGTAAGAATGAGACCCGCTTCAAAATCTTTAAACTGCTCACTCATTATGGAAATGTAGTTCATATCCAGCATCTGAAGCAAGTGTAGTAGTGTGCATCCGTAGATGCATCATGAAGCAAGTTGGGTCAACAAGTGCTTACAGCTGTTTTGCTCCAAAAACTTAAACCTGCTTTTAAAATATTTACCTGGACATTCTATTCTTTGACTAAAAATCCAGCATCTGAAACCTGACTGGTGACAAGGAAACACGCTGGATCAGGTGACTCTGATTAATATATGGACTAGATATACTTGAAAAAAAAATCTGCTTCAAAAACGTTTACCTGGAACACCGATGCCGACGGTATTACAAAAGCTCCCCCAACTTCGAGGAGGTGAGCTAAAACTTTAAAAATGTGACGTTAACGTTATACGTTGGCGACAAAAAAGTATCGAAATGAAGATAGGATACGATAATATTTTCTCTTGTTAATAAAATCGAGAATCTTCTTTGATTTAAAAAAAATATGCAATTTTTGGCTTAGTATTCTAACACAGAGTCAGATCAAGAAACCAGGAGCTTCTAATTTTAGATATGCAAATTTTATGCAATTTTCAATTTTTGGATATGTAGTGCACACGCGACACTCATCATATTTCAAGAAAGTAGTATGCAGAGTATATCTAACTACTGAGCAAATTTAGGTGAGTGTCCCTCATGCACTTCATAATCTAAATATCGATTTATAAATGCCACCCTCTTATAATTTCCCATAAGCCTAATGTTAACCGATCTGAGGGTATATCTAAGTATGTATCAGCTATGGTGGGAATTCATCTCATATTAACTTTTGAAATATAAATAACAAAAGTTAACATATTTATCTTGAATTTTAAACTAGTTTTGAAAAAATAAATTGAAATTTAATTTTATGAAAAAAGTGGGCCACTGAGCGGCCTTATCGAAACTCCCCCTTTAATAAGTTTGCTGATTCAAAATATTCATGTATTTGTTCTTCAAATTTTTTGAAAAGAAAATCAAAGTAATTGATATGTATTTAATTACATTCTTCAAAGTAATTGAGAGTACTTTTGTTAAAATCAATGTTATGTAATTGCAAGTAATTGACAAAATTATCAATGTATTTGAAAATATTTAATTACATTTCAAAGTAATTAACCCCAAGCCTGCAAGTTACAGTTAGAAAAATAGTTGAATATCTTCACAATAATATAATTATTAAATCCCTAAAATATCGTTTACTTTAGACTTTTAACATATTAGATATGATAAAAAGAAGGCGCCCATACTTTATCCAAATTGGATAAACGACGCTCCCAAGACAGAGGACTCGGGTTATGATGGTCACCATGCTCATTCTGGGGAAGGATATCCTTATCCACCCATCCTATTGGCGAGATTTGGCAATTTTTGACAAATGGACTATTTTTGTTATAAAAATAGCTTGCATAGTAAGAAATATGAGACTCGCAAAAATCTTTCAACTTCTGTGAACAAAACGCTTCGGAGCAAGTCACGTGACCGCCTGGATCAGGTGATTCGCGCATGGGCAGAACGTTGGCAGATGTGCATTAGAATCGGAGATCTACAGGACTGTTTAAAAAAAATCATAAACAATGAAACTTAATTTTGTTTCTTTTATGGATGTAATTAAAATAGTTAGCGAACTTTTTGATCACCCCTCGTATATGCATTGCTCTTCACAACAAACAAAAAATTAATGCACAAGTCGAGACCATTATGCAATTATTACATAACAGAATTGCATTTTACCATCCTAAGAATGACAGAATTTATAGAAATTGTTAAATATTAGACTAATAATAAAATCTACATCTGGTCAATTTATGTTCCAAATAAAGCATAGCTACTCGTCTATAACCTGCTATGCAGATGTTTATCTAAAAGTGGTGTAGTAACACAGGGCAGTCCAAATGATATCAGCATCGGGGGAGGTTCTGGACAGCTCTGACACTCCATTAAACTTGCTTTGATGATAAGAAAATGGAGAAAACATTTCAGATGTAATTTATTGTTTTGATTTATATAAAGGCTTTCTTTCTAGACACAAATTAGCTATGAAATTCCAATTGAACATGCATAATTATCCTCTTTTCATTGAATTATATGTACTCGGGAATTTCAAAGGTGTTTGACGAATTTTCATGATTAATTCAAGATTACAGCTTTTTCTTTCACCAAGTTTACATAAAATTCAACATTTAAATTTTAAAATAGAAATCTTAAACATTTTTGAGATTTAACACTTTTAAATATGAAAAATTGCAACAAATTTAAAGAGACTAATATCAGCCATCCTCCATGATTGTTGGGTGTGGGTGAGTCTTCAAAAACTGCTGATAAAATTTACAAGAAGTGACATAAGAAGAACAGGACACATTATTAGCTGAATTATGGTTATTCTGCTATTTTGATTGTGTACATTCTCCAGCAAACTGAACAAAAGTCATGAATGCCAGCTGCGAAAGCATGGGAAAAGTCTGGTAAACCATAACAGGCATACCATGGTGCTAAGTGACTTTCTGTACTACATGTGTGCTACATTGTTAGGACTCGGAATGAGTGTTCATTCTCATGCTCTGAAAGTATTTATGCATTTTTTTTAAATCATAAGCTTCTAATTTTTGAAAAATTCTTAATAATTTTATTTGTACATTACTTTTATTTGACAAATTTAAATCATTTCATTATTTCTACTTCTTCACTGCAGTAATACATGCATCACTTGTGAAACTTGTTTCACGTCACATTTTATCGCAGTTGTCGCTTTTGTTGAAAACTCATTCGCAAACCAAGAATTAGTGTTTTTTTGAAAAAAAAATCGGTCTAAAGTACTTTTACAGCAAAGTCTGTAGACACTATAATTGACTGCGTTAATGTGGTCACATAGTTAAAAGTCATCTTAAATTTAAAAAAAAAAAAAAAAAAAAAAAAAAAAAAAAAAAAAAACATTTTCTAACTTTTTTCTGCATGTCAGATGTATACACCTACTTTGAAAGTCATAGCTTGAAGTTTTGAGGATAAAACATGACATTATTTGTATTTTACATAGAAATCTGTATAAATTAGTTTCAATCTACTTCTAATTTTAAAAGTATGCGCTTTTAAGAGAAAGTTCTAAAATGACATATTTTGTTGAAATATGCCTTTAAAAATTAAAACTGTCTCTAATATGGATGTAGATGATTTTACACAATCACCTTCAAGGTATCACGCCTGTAATTGTTTTCACGATATAATTCTATATAGAATAAAGCATCCTTAAAAATCAGGTATTCGAATTCATGAAAAAATATTTAGCAGGAAATGAAAAAATATTTAGCAGGAACTGTTAAAAGTTACTAGTCACATTAGCTGACACGAAAAATAGGGTACGTACACGGCATTTTCTGATTTTTTTTTTATCTGCAAACAGGAATACCCTCAAAACCACGTGTTTCCAATTTGTTTGTAAACATATTGTGTGCACCCCAGGAAGTGGCCTCCTATGTCCTGAAAGAAATAGTTCCTGTCAAAAACCTTTAATATTTTACAAAGTACATAAAATATCCTATAAGTACATTTAATATCCTAAGCACAGATACAAAAAACATAAAAAAGAGTTAGAGTAAGAATAAAATTTCTCACAATAAAAAACTTCTTTATTATGTATGGAACTACAATTGACTATGTTCATTTTGACTGGTCAATTACCGCTTTGATACCTGAAATGAATTCGGATCACCGCGAGGCATTGGAGGCTGACCGGATTCATTTCACAGTAATTTGTTTTATTTGTTTTCAACATCAAAATTCAAAATGTAAAACTGTAAATAAATAAGGTTTAGAAGCATAGTTGTAGTGCTTGATGTTTGGGTTTTCATTTTGATTTACTATTTTTTCCGTCTTTTTTAACCTTTTCTATGTCCAGGAAGGGACAGAGTGTCCCAAATATTTGACAATTCTTATTGTTCGTGTCGCTGGTCAATTTTATTAGCTCACCTGAGCCGAAGGCTCAAGTTAGCTTCTCTGACCGAAATTTGTCCGTTGTCTGTCGTAGTTGTTGTTGTCGTTGTCGTCATTCGTCGTCTTTGTCGTAAACTTTTCACATTTTCATCTTCTTCTCAAGAACCACTTAGCCAATTTCAACCAAACTTGCCATAAAGTATCCTTGGGTAAAGGGGATTCAAATTTGTTCAAATGAAGGGCTACGCCTTTTCCCAAGGGGAGATACTTATGATTTCGTGAAAAATTAATGGTATCATTTAAAAACCTTCTTCTCAAGAACCACTGTGCTTGAAAAAATGAAACTAACGTGGAATCATCGTGAGGTTGTGTTGATTCAAATTTATACAAATCATGACCCCAAGGGGTAGGGTGGGGCCCCAATGGGGGATCAAAGTTTAACATAGGAAAACATAAGAAAAAACTTTAAAATTCCTCTTCTCAAGAACAGCAAAGCCATGATTAGTCATATTTATATGGAAACATCCTCAGGTAGTGTAAATTTAAGTTTGTCCAAATCGCGACCTCCGAGGTTAGGGTGGGTCACAATGGGCGATCAAAGTTTTACATTAGAATACATTTGGAAAACCTTTTAAAAATCTTCTT